GTGAAGTTTGGAGAACCGCTTCTGATGGGGACGGGCCTGGATGAGAAGGCGAGAAAGGAGCTGCTGAACAAGCTGATAGAGCTGAGGAATTCACGATCAAAGACTAGAGAAGAAAAATGTGAAGACAGCTTTACTCTGAAACAAAAAACTGTAGATAAAATAGTTGATGATATAAAAGGGGATAAGGTTGGGACTAGTAATATGATTAAAAGTACTAATATCCTTAAGGCTCGAGAAGGGGGGAGGCAAGAGTTGGAAGGGTTGGAGGTAGACAGAGAGGTCGAATCAGTGATGATAACCACGACACCCTCAAGCAGAGATGTGAAGACTCGCAAGAGGAAGAGAGAAGTAGAGGGATTGAGTAGTCCTTCAGTGGATGCTGTCTCGGTAGGAAACTTGAGAGAGACGGCTCCCATGGTTTTGGCGCGATGCAAGACAGCGGCATACAAGAGCAACACGGAGCTCAGAAGACCACTCGAAGTAGAGAGGGAAATAGAGGCTTCCATCAGTTCGACATCGGAGGAAGACTTCAAGCCCCAGAAGATAAACGTGAAAAGAGGTTCAACGGACGGACAGACAGGGGAAGTGGATGTCGGCAAGGAATGGGTCTCGAAGGGACACCAGGCCACGGGGAAGCAAGTGACGAGTGATCCACTGGAGAGGAGCAAGACGAGGAACACCTCCCGGCCATGGTGGGTGGCCCTCGAGACATTGAAGGAAATGGAAGACTGCTTGAAGAAGTTGGACAGTGGAGTAGCTCGCAAACGACGCAATTGGGCCACCCAGCAAAAGGCCGAGGTTAACAAGATAGAATTGGCAAACCAGCTGAAGAGGTCCTGGCAGAACTTATTGAAGGATCATTTTGAAGAGACAATGAGGACCCCCTCATCAGCACCGCCATTGATGGCGAATCCCTTCGTTAGAACCGCAGGACAATTGATGTTCACCTGGAGTCTGGTGGGAATAGAGTTGGAGACACTGACCTCGTATGACAGGTTGAAATTAGGAAGCAAGAAGCTAGACGTGTATCAAGCACTGATGCAGCACGTGGCCAGGGATAATTCAGGCTTGAGCCTGGCTAGGAGGAAGGACGCCACATGTTTCTTGAGATGGATAATGTCAATGATGTCTGATAGCACCATCTTGGCGTGCTACCAAAGAGCAAGCGGAAGTAGAACCGTGGAGAAGAGAGTCTCAACGATCATCTTAAACGTATATCAGAGTACTGGAATAGAAAAGGAAGATGGTTCCAGACTATCCCTAGAGAACCACAGAAAGCTGGACGCGGTACGGAGGTTTTACAATAAGAAGTTCGAAGAACATGATGTTCACCGTAACCTGGCCTCGCCAGAGCAGTACTCGAGACTCAGTGAGAAGGGGGAATACCAATACGTGTCAGGAGTGATGGGGATAGCCTACAACCCCTTCTTAGACTCAGAAACTGGAGGCGCTCACAAGAACCACGAGGTAGCGGAGCTGCTGAAGTTTTGGACAGAAAAAATAGTGGAAATAGACGCGGTGGAGAAAGAGAGGCCGAGCCTGGGCCTGATTCTTGAGAAAACACCGGAGGAGGTGAGCATACCGCGCTCGAACAAGAGAGTTGAAGTGAACATGGGTGATGGCAATGGCTTGTTGATCACGAACTTGGGAGTGGTATGGAAGTTACTAAGACCCTCCTGGTGCCCACATCCCCACGCGAGTCTGATCGAGGAGACCACCGAGCGGGTGAGGTTAGCACCAACGGAAGATGAAGATTTGGCAAAGTTGAGTGTGGTGCACAAACTGATCTTACCTCAGATGAAGGAGTCAGGCGAAAAGACGAACAGTCTCGAGTCTGCAAAGAAGATGGAGCCGGGTAGCTGTCTGGATTCTACGTGTGGGAGTGGAGAGCACACCTGCGACGGACGATCATGTGTCAGGATACTGTCCTTTCAAAAAGAAGATCTGGTTACTTGGTTTGAAGACATCACGGAAAGGGAGAAAAGTGAAGTACAAATAGTGGCGGAGTGTTACGCGAGAACTACGGTGAACATAGCGACAGCTCTCGGATTCTTCTCGAGAATGTGTAGTCTGCAGTCACTGGAGAGGCTAGAGTCTGAACACCATTTAGTGACGGCGTTGAGCGTGGAATCATGGCCTGGGGTGTTGCAGGTGACTCAAAAACATATCCGGAGCTGGAAGGTTGGTCTCGAGGCGGAAATGGGGTTTCCCATGAGCGAAGCTTATGGCCTGCCATTGAACGCAAAATCCCTGATAGGGTCAATGATGGCCAATTTGTTCGGAAGCCACTACCCACTGCACATGGCGATGGTGGAAGCATCCAGCCAGAGAATATTGGTGGACAAGGCCTTCTCAGTGCCCAAGTGCGTGAGGTTGGCTCGGGTATCGCATCACTCGCACAAGTTGTTGAGGAAAATCAGAGGGACAGTACCGAAAGAGTTGAGAGATGACTTGAGTGAAATCTGGGGAGAAGAGCTTTTGAAGTTGGAAAGTGAGAACACAAGCGATCACGAGAGACAAAACGTGATCGGAAAACCTGTGGGGGGTACTCCAAACATGGGAGAGAACGACACAATGCATGAGAAAATGATGGAGCTTGAGCCTCTCTTGGAAGCCTCGGGGGAGCGTAACCTCAGGAGCATTGAGATCACCCATGGAGAATGCCCATGCCACTGTTTGGCACAAACGGTGTGGTATCCAGATCACAAGAACCTCTGCCTGGTGTGGGATATGGAAGAAATTCGGTCGATTGGATTACCGGATCACCGGCAGAAGGTGACGCTCTTAGTAGTGAGTACGATGCTGGCTCTGAGATGGATAGAAGAGAATATAACGAAGTATCGGGAAGCGAAGACGCCAACGGCTGAGTCAATATATGCGATAGACTACAGCAGGAGACTCGAGTTGTTTGAGACTGCATGCAAAGTATTCGCCATACCAATGGAAGTCAGACACGTATGGAGCCGCTTGAGGTACTTTCCATGGTTTCGAGCGACACTGACGTCTTGGTTATACAGGACAACGAAAGATCACATGAGAAAGCATCAAAAGGAGTATCGACAGTTCCAGGCCGAGATTGGGCCGGAAGCTTTCAAGAGACCCCTGTTAACCCATCGAAATGCGATCACGACAGGATGGAAAAGAGTGGGTAAAATGTCTAGAGACAATACCAAAGCGAGGGAATCTATACTAGAGGAGGACTTGGCGAAGAACGTGAGCCTGAGCCTGCACAACTCCTTTTGTTTGAACCGGGAATCTAGGGTGAAGGCACTACCCAACCAGGCAAAGAGGTTGCAGGAGCAAAGGGAATGGATGCGATCCTATGAACAGCTGAAGGCTTGGGAGGAGATCGTGATTAGCTCCGATGATGAAGAAGAACTGTTGAGACAGTTTGCCGTATCCAGTACTTCAGGGGACGGCACCTCCAAGGCGAAGAGTGCGAAATGAGCGGATGGTTCGAAGAGATCTTGAGTCTTGAGAGGGAAGGGGGGCTTGAGTGTGAATCCAGATGAAACTTGGGTTCACGAAAAAGAAATTTTAATGAATCAGATATTGTTATTAATATGTTATATTTACTATATAAATCAAAATGCTGCATGACAATTTCCTGACTGAATGGGACAAAAGAAATTTTAAATAATTGGCTTGAAAAGCGAGAATTCAAGGGTGCAGGTGTGTGCAGATTTTGATTGCTGTTTAGCGATAGTGTGAAAATTTTACATGGCCATGAATTTTGGGGTGTAGATAAGCTTAAGTCTGCTGCAAACTTCTGTAAATGACCACTGGCACTGTACCTTGAGCAACACTCGGTTTTCTGGGACTCACTGGTAGACGACAGCACGCGATGAGGACATCGATCTTGAGTCCGGGGAGTATGTGCCAGTCGGTCATATTTGGAAGTTTGACCTTGAGAAAAACAAGAACGCTTAATTTTGGAGTGAAATTTGATTTTTCAAAAATTCGAGTGGAGCCTGTCATGCACGATTTTCTCGCGATAACTGAAAACCGAAAAAGAGAAATCAGAACGATCGAGTTACAATCGCGTGAAAAGTTGCCAGATAAAGCAGTAGGAAATTGCCATTTGCAATTTCCGTCACAATAAAACTAGAGTAGAGCTGTCCTATCTGAAACAGAAGGAAGCGTATTCCCGAGAATTGGACTATTATTACTCGACTGGATTATCATTCAAACTGGACTAGAGTGAACCTTCGATGGAAAGGTGGACAGCTTGAGTGTCCCAATGGTTCACGAGAAACCATACTCTAGAGTTCAAACTTGGTCCTGTTATTGAAACTGATAAACATTAAACTCATTTAGTTACATTATTTAATTCTCGAGTTGATTACCGACTTAATTACTCCCAGTTCTTGAGCGTGCTACGATGTGAGTACTCAATTTAAATTTCTAGAGTGTGTTTTATGATTGTTATGTTGAGGTAAGGCGAGTTTTAGGTTGATCCATCTGAAATGGATCAAAGTTCCACTGTCTAATAAAAAGTAACTTAACGGATTGTTCCGACCCGGTTTTTAACGGCGTTTATGTATTTTGGGTATCTAGAGACCTAAGTATGGGGACGTTTTTATTTCTAGAGTGGGGGGATTTTTTGGTAGTAGCCTTCAAGCTGTAACGGGTTGTAGTCTCATGTCACAAGCGAACCGAATTGGCTCCGACTGATTTGAGGTAGAAAAACACGAGAGATAGTGTCCCTGACTCTTGAGCCAATGGTTATAGGGCCTATTTTTCTTAAGCCTCATGTGTGACTACAGTAGACGAATGTTACATTGCCATTTATGTCCTGAATGCAAGGTAGTATAGACAATTAGGAAACTAAACCGAGAGCTTAAACGACAACCATAGAGCCGAAAAATCATCAGAAAAAATGTATAGCTTAAGATTCTTTAAAATGTTACATACAGCTTGATGTATCAAAATGAAAAAAGATAGTTTTGAAAAATTAAAAGCCCGGACAATGTAAATCAAAATTAAGTGATCAAACAAACCTTTGTAAGTGACAATTAAATTACGATTTGACAGGCCCAAATGTTCGCATTTATCCTCGTGCGACCAATATCTTGGCAACGGTGTCCGTTTTTCATTAATATGAGGGTAGATGTTACTAATAGAGTCTTTCGTTTTCGTGTCTTCAGAAATTGGTCGCTTGCGGGGACCCATTTTTCAAACTAAAAAATTAAAAAGGTCAATTATGAGATGATCATCCGCATAAATTACGTTTTGTGCGCATTTTGATACAGAGGCACAGTAAAAACTCCCCCCACTTGCGATACATCAAAACAATCACAGAAAAAATTTTGGAAAAATTTACCTGAAAACCAATCAACCTTTGCCAAACCAAAATACCTATTATAAATGAGTTTTTAAAGAAGGTCAACTAAAATGGGCCTTAGCGTCATGCGACGGTCCGTGCACAGGTTGGAAAGGGCCATACCAACGCTATATAAATACATCGGCAACATTTTCTAAATAAATCAAGTCGACTTTAAAGCATCCAGAAAATTGTTAATTATAAATGAATTGACATTTTAAAAAGATCAAACAGGAACTAGCTTTCGTACCTGATCCCTTGACAGAACTATTAAAACATGATTGCTCCCCCTACTTTCTATTTTGATGAGAAATCAAACCAAAACAATTTTAAGTAAGTGATCTGCTCCTTTTGGAATCAACAGCATCCATACTCGTAATCAAATGACGAACTCGAAACGTTTATCAGCACAGACCGCATGCATATTGTACCGCATCATTTTGTAAATAATGGCTTAGAATTTTAAAACTTGAGATGCACAACAATTTGCGATGTTATTTTTTTAGGGGGTAATCAGAAGGTCAAAAGTATGTGACATTCGACCAGAATAGACGAAAATGCAGATTCGAAATTTTAGCAGCTAGCCTTCCGAATTAGCAGTTTTGAAGGATTAGCAGTGTTATTGGAACGATTAGCCAAACTGTGAAGGCTAGAATATTCTGGTGTTTCAAATTTTTAAATTTTCGAAGTATGACGTCATATTTCTGAGAAACGTCAGAAACGGCCATTTTGGCAGAAAAGCCGAAATAAAACACAACAACAACAGTAGTTGCGACGATAACAACGAAAAAACTTAGAATCGGAATTAGAGACGAGCAGAAATAGCAGAGACCGTTCCGAGTTGCAACTATTGTGTCGCTACAATAGTTGCAAGGCAGTTGCGAACAACGGCGAAGGGTAGAAGGCAGCCTTCCGGAAGGAAAATAGAGGTCTTATTTCCCCGGATTCAAGAATCCGGAGGGGTCTCGGGACTGAAACTCTCAGCTTTTTATATAAACTTTTAGCTTCCCTATTATGTCCTGAATTGAATTTAATTAACATCTGAATTCATTTTGCTAGGATGAGAAGCTAGGAGTTGGGGTAAAAGGGTTAATCCATCTTCGATGGAGATGATGATTTTTATCTACTGAGCAAAAACAATAATAATTCAATAAATAGTAGTAGCCCTGTTTTTAGGAGTGACCTCGTGGTCTGGGGATACTGAGATCCAGCCATGAGCTCACTATTTCTGCATGTAATTAAGCTAATTTGAGCGTTCTGGTCGAAGCCGAAGAACGGTAACGTTTTTCTCGACCCGATGTTGAAAAGACCACCAAAAGAACTGGCTTGTTAGAGACGGTGAAAAGCATGTAAAGCTCTGTTTAGACGTTAGCCAGTCGTCTTAGGACCTAGCTTTAATTTCCGTCGATATGTATCTTCCGGGCGAATGTTACATAGATGTTTTTATGGCGCTCCTGGGTGTTATTCTTTTTTAACATCATGACCGGCAGAACCGTTAACGAGCACTCCGCGCCGAGCGGATGCTCACATTAACGCCCTTAATAGGCCAAAACCGCCGGCGCGAAGGGTAGTTCGGAACGCGGAAGCCTTCCGAATTACCGTGAATAGCTTTTTAACCTAGTTAAGACCGAAAATTCACGAATCAGGAAGGGTGGGGTGATCGGCCATCCCCTCGTTCCCTGAGAGGTCTGTGACCAAAAAAATTTAAAGATATACAGGAAACCAAACAAAATGTAGTATACTACTGTGCCATTCTGCCAGACTGACACAGCGCAACCTTCCGGCGACACGAAAAAAAAACGAATAAAGGCCTTAGGAACGAAAAAGTATTGCGAAGGAGGGTAGGGATTTTCTAGAATTTTATTTTTAAAATTTCGATTGATGAGTGAATATTTCTTAGAAATAGAAAAAGACGGCCATTTTGACGAAAAACGACAAAAAAAAACAGAACAACGACAAATATTGTGCAAAACGGTCGCACAAGGGACGAAAAATACGAAGCTTCTTATCGTGGCAACAACACACGATAAGACTCTTAGCAGTGGAGATTGGTGGAGAAGGAAGCTTCAGTGGGGAAGAAATATTCCACGGAACCCTCCCGTGCCACAAATTGGAAGAGATAAGAACGTTATCTCAGGAAGATTACGGGAGCGGAGGCTTGGTACCCCAAAGACTGTTTTATGTGAAGGGACTAAATAAGACTAACTTTGTAGCTACTTGGATGTCGTAGAAAACTGAATTAACACCGGTATAATTTGATATTTTAGAATATGAGTAGCTAGAAAGAGGAAAGGGGGCCGGAGGGTTAGGTGGGAAATCTAGAGCCCGCTTGCCCCGAGGTCCCAGGACCAAAAACATTTAAAGAGAAAGCGTAAAACCAAACAAAATAAATGTATAACCAAGAAAAAGCCAAAAACAAATTTTTTAGAAAACAAAAAAAGTACAAAAAACAGTAAAAAATCCAAAAAAGACCAAAAACAGTAAAAAACGTAAAGTGACAGTTTATATGTTATTTCCGGACGAGATGTGATCTGACCTTCCTATTTGTTGTTGTTTCAGATTGATTTATATCGTTTCTGATCGAATGATTGTGTGTTTTGGTGAAGGGTTGGATACCCTCCCTTGAGTGTAATATAAGTATTTAAGCACGTTAATGGTGATTTTGCCGGTGACCGGAGGGTAGAGCGGCAAGCTGACCGACGTGTTCCACACTCAACAGGGACATAAGGACAACATCCACAACAACTGTTGGGTATCGTTGAAACAATTTTAGTATCGTTCGGGTACTATTTCATTAAAACTTAAGTGGTGGGGAGCACGATTGGCGCGGTCCGATTGTACCCTCCATCGATTACAAATTTCCGAGTTAAGGGTCTTAATTCGGGTATTTTGGTGCAAAGGAGGGTATAGTACTATTCATTAACGACTACTAATAGGTTATTATCCTAATTACATATTACTTATCTCCTAATTAGACCCAAGAAACACCCAAATTTTGTCGAAAATTATCGATTTTCGACCAAACTGTAGACCCCCAAATTTTTGGATATCCGAGCTTTTCCGAACAGCAAAAAGCTTTTATATAGGGAGTAGCTACGTAGTTTGATCCCCCTAACTAAAGAAACCGCGTGAGAAAAGACTCAGCAAAAGTTGGAAAAAACCAAAATTTTTCGGTCAAAATTTCGATAATTTTCTGAATTTTGTCAATCTGTTTTGGGGATCGAGTTTTTGAGTTTTTAGAGTTAGAGCAATAAAATTTTTTGAATTAGGAGCGTGCTAGCATAACGTGCTCGGCTGCCAGAAAAATTCTTGAGTAACCCTCCGATTAGCTCCGTGGATACAGCTAACGACTTAAGGATTGGAAAAGGAAGGAATCGGAGGGTCCAAATTTGATAGTTATTGGCCAAATTTTTGTCTCCAAACCAATTTTGGTCCGGTTTATTGCATTATTCCAGTGCTGTACAGGGCTACTACGCTCGTTTCAATTGTTTTTAGGCACTTTCAATAGGAATTGTGGAAAAAGTTTCTCAGAACCTATATAGGTGGTGAAAAAAGGCCATTTGGACAAACACGTTTTTGGCAATTTATCAAAGACTAGCCAACCGATCGGGATAATTTTGGTACCATAAGTCGACGTTTTGAACCACTTTTCCGGACCGCAACCGTTTTTGGGTTGATAATCTCGGAAACGAAAAATTTTTTAGAATTTGTTGGTTCGGAGGGTCCAAATCACAGGTAACCCTCCGAGCGGCAGAAAATTTTATCAAAACACCTTTTTATCCAACTGGGAAGGTTGACCTTGTCAGCCAACCTAGTTTTAAGTCAGGCGGACCGCTTTTGGAGACTTTATCGCGGTAACATAACCTTTTTTCTTGATTTTTGGGGAACCCTCCGAAGTAACCCTCCGGAGTCAGCTAAACCCCTTAGCAACCCTCCTTAGTGGAAAATTTCCACGAGATAATCCAAAGAAGTTAAAACAACCCCCATAGAGAATTTAGCTTGTTTTGACGCTTCCTGAAGTTAATTGAAGGCCCTTCTAAGTGAGGTTCAGAAATTTGAAAATTTTGGAGGTACCCTCCGAAGTAACCCTCCGGAGCATATTAAGCATCTTATTGACCCTCCTTAGTTAATTTAAGGGGACCCTCCGAAGTAACTTGGGTGATTAAGGTACCCTCCGAAGTAACCCTCCGAGGCAGGCTAAGTGTCTTAACAACCCTCCGAAGTAACCAACCGGAGTGACTTAAACATCTTAGCAACCCTCATTGTTAGAAACCTGAGGAAACCTTCTGTGGCAATTTGGGAGACGGGAAATATCCATTTAATAAAGATCATATTAGACATTAGGCGTGCTTATTAGGATCACAGGAGCCCATTTTGACCCGGAAATTTGTGATCAACTTTGGATTCTAGATCGGGTGTATCAGAAGTACCCGAACAAAGTTTTTTTTTATTGTGATTTTGGTTGTGTGGTTGCCTTGAGCTACTTAATAGGAAAGTTCGGGCAATCCGGGAACAAATAAAGGAAGACCTCGGTGAGTGTATTAAACAAATACACACTCACTTGAGAATAAATGTTGTTCCCTACTCTCGTGGACTTGGAGCAGTCTGGGTGTGGGGGACTTTTTCTTAGACTATAGAAATTTTCGATCAGAGGTTGCCTTGAGCTACTTAGTAGGACAGCTCGGGCAATCGCAGGGCACCTAAAAGAAGACCTCGGTGGGTGTATTAGGCAAATACACACCCACTTGAGAAGACTGTGTCCTGGGCTTTGTTCTTTCGGATCGTTCCGATTGAGGGAAGTCTTTTTCTTTAAGACTAAGTTTTATTGATCTGTTTCTGAATCATCACTGCTTT